GGGACGTCAGCTCTGCATTCATGAACGGACACCAGTGCCAGAGATAGCAGGGGCCACTTTACTGCGAGCTCCCTTTTGACGGAGCTCCGGGGGTGGAGCCCGGGTCGTTGCTGGAAGTGCTCGTTTGCGTCTACGGGCTCGGAGACGCGCCGTTGCAGTGGTGCCAGAGGTTCGCTGCCGATGCGCTGCTGGCCCTAGCGGTGGGCGGCGCCTGCGGCGGTGGCGGCGAATCTTTGGAGAGGGCGATGGGGAGGGTCAAGAAGAGGGCCCCGTTCGGAAAGTATCGACAAGGCAAGGGGGACTTCCTGGGAAAGCAGTTGGGGCAGTTTCCGGATAAGTCCGTCAAGTTCAACCAGAAGGCTATGGTGGAGGAGATCGAGCTGATTAAATCCCAGTCAGAAGTAGGGCGATGTTCAACGATATGTGCGACGAGAAGGAGAGCTCCGCCCTACGAGCAGCGGCAAGAACCCTGAACTACGTGGGCCGGGAGACGCGACCAGACCTCAGCGGGTGGTCTCGTTGCTGCAGAGCACGCCCCCGAGGCCGGAGGTGGCGGACTTGCTGGAGGGCAACCGGCCCATGCGGCTTGGGAAGGATTTGCCCCGCGCAAGCCCGTGGTCAAGGCCCATCAAGCTGGCGAGCCTGGCGTTCTACACTTGGGCGGGCGCTGCGCGAGCCATAGCGAAGGGCCAGGCGAGTCAAGCGGGCTGGATTTTCCAGGCGGGCGACGGGAAGATCAGCCGCGGCCATTGGGGATGGATATCTCCCCTAGCGCGGAGGTCGCGCCCACTGGCTCGGAAGGTTCCGAGCTCGCTGGCGGCGGAGACCCTCGGGGCGGACGTAGGCTTGGGGGACGGGGTCTACCTGATGATTATGTTCGCACAGCTGGTGTTCCCAGGGCTGAACGCCCTGACTGCGCCAGAGGCGGGGCGTGTCCACCCGCTCACCATCGCGGCGGGCAGCAAATGCCTATGCGACCACCTGCGTAGCATCTCGGCAGGTCCGAGCAAGGACCGAAGGACCGCGCTGGACATCGCGATCCTCAAGGAAAGTACGGAGGAGAGCGAGACTAGCATCTGGTGGGTGGACAGCAAGCGCCATCAAATCACGGACCCTCTGACGAAACGGAATGGTTGCGCGGGCCTATTACGCGGCATCTTGCAGAAGGGCGAGTTCGCGATTGTCGCAGAGGACAGAGCGTTCAAGATCCGGGAGGGCGAGCGCAGAGCGCGCGTGACGCGCCGTAGAGTTTGTGGTAGGCTTATCAGTGCCCCGACCGCAACGCCGCGCAGGGGGACAGGTCATCGCGCTACGCGCTCGCTGTAGCTTCGAGTGACTGCAGCGCTGATGTCCATATCACTACATGCCAATGCGCTGCGCGCTGCGATTGTGCCGAGGCCCTGTTCGGACCCTTCTAGGACGGACAGGGGGGGAGGGGGGGCGCTAGATTTCTTCGTGTCAGGGCATCTAGATTTCTGGGGCGTGCGAGTTGCTCTAGAGGTATTCTGAAGTTTCCCCTAGACAGCCCATGATGCCAGACACCTCAGCCTCTCCCGCTGCCGTTTGGTTCGGACAGGGGCCTCGGCCCCTTGGGGGGATTCACGAGTGATCAAGCCGAGACTGAAAGATCAGACATCCCGCGGGTATGTGCTTCTACCGCCGTTCCGCCAGATTCGGTAAAATAATGGAACCCCCTGGGCGTTGCAGGCGTATAGTGACACACTGACAATGGGGCGTGCGGAGAGAGGAGAGGCGCTGCGACTAAGGCAGGCAGGACAGCCCCTTCGAATTTCAGGGGATGGGTTCCGAGGAGATTTCATCACAATGGATGTCGGAAGCTTTCGGAAGAGCTACTTGGAGGGCAGTCCAGGCGAAGGGTACGACAAGGTAGGACACGCCGAGGGGGGAGCCCCTGCACAGCTCCACGGAGGTTGATCTGAGGATGGTGGAGGACATGGAGATGGAAGAGGAGGGCGCGGCAGAGGCGCTGAACCAGCGCCCGCTTGGACCTGCGAGGAACTCCCAGAAGATTGGGCCCCGTGTGGCCCCATGCGTCAGGACCGCGCTGCTTGACATGCCCGCGTGAGGTTATCCAAGGGTGGCACCCGTGGAAACGGGGCCTTCAGAGATGTCTTCACAGCCGCCAGCCAGTGACCATGGTGCATATCCGCACCGTCCAATCAGCGCGTTCGACGGCTCTTCCTTTTGCATAGGTGTCAGGCTGGCAAAGGACACTATCTATATCCAATAGCCCAGCCTGACGCCCCCCCTGCCCTGCAGTCGGCCGTGACCATGATAACTTGGAGGTTCCTCAGGTTCGAGAGAGCGTGATCCACCGCCGCTTTACGTTGGAAAATTGCCCCCCTCTTCCTCCAGAGCCCGCCCCCCCCCCCCTCCGAAAAATCCCCCCCCTGTTGGACCCCCCCCTCCCCTCCCCCGGCAAAACCCCACCCTCCCCTAACCCCTCCCCCCCCTCCCCCTCGAAAACCGGGGGTGGTCACTGCACCGGTTCGAACCCCCCCCCCTCGAAAACCGGCGGGGGGGGTCACTGCTGGTTCGAACCCCTCCCCCCCCCCCCCCGCTCACCGCCAGCAAACGACTCCCGGTCCCTACCACCGTCCGCATCACATCCCCCACTGTTGTTCCCAGCGCCACTGTCCTCACCACCACTGTCCCCGCTGGTTCCACCACCGTCCCTACTGTCCCCACCAGTGCCCCCGCCACTGTCGCACTGTCCCCAGTGCCCCCGCCCCTTTTCCCACCACGGTCCACTCTCCCCACTTTCTCCACGGCCCCAACCACTGCCCGACTATCCCCACTGTCCCCACTGTCCCACTGACTCCTCCGCTGCCCCACTGAGCTGTCCCACTGTTCCCACCACAGCCCCCGCTGTCCCCACCACTGTCCCCACTGCACCTCTGCCCCATTGTCCCACCGCCGTCCTCGCCACCGCCTTCACCACTGTCCCCACGACAGCTGTGCCCTCCACTGTCCCAGTGTTTCCACCTCATTCCCACTGTCCCCACGTCGTTGTCCCCACCGCCACCGTCCCTACCACTGTCCACTGTCTCCACTGTTCCCACAATTGTCCGTCCTCACCACTGTCCCCACCACTACCGTCCCCACCACTGTCCCACTGTCCCCACCACTGTCCCGCTGTCCCCTCACCACCGCCCCCACCACTACCGCCCCCACCACTGTCCGCACCTCCACTCGGTTTTCGAGGGGGGGGGGGGTCTTCGAACCGGTGGTGACCCCCCCTCCGGTTTTGACCCCCCCTCCGGTTTTCGAGAGGGGGAGGGGGGGGGGGTTCGAGCGGGGGGGTGGATTCGAACCGGTAGTGACCCCTCCTTTTTTTTCATGATGAGCTGGGGGCGGGGGGGGTTCGAACCGGCAGTGGCCCCCCCCGCTTTCCGGAGGGAAGGGGGGGGTCGAACCGGTAGTGACCCCCCCCAGCTTTCCGCCAGCAGCGGTAGGACACGGTCTTTCTCAGGTTCACATCTGCAGTCGCTTCGCATTGGTTTCTGCTGTTCCCTCCACCTCCGACAGGCAGCTGGATGAGTTGGAAGGCGGGCGACCTGGGACCGATGCCGGGCGAGGCGGAGAAACGCTTGGCAAGCTCTCAGCACACTTTCTCAGCTGGTGGCTACGGGAAGGATGGACCTCGCAGACAGCGCAAACAGCAAGCAACCCTTTGGGGGCCACGGGATCAGCAGCAGCAGCAGCCTCACTCGCCGAGATGGAGATCGAGGGCTGCGATTCAGAGGTCGAGACGGCGCTGAGTACAGGGAGCGGCTGTCTCAATGTACACCAACGAACTCAAGCATTCCCAAACATGTTTCCGTCTACGCATCTGGTGCCGAAGGAACACGTGATCAACCCTCACGCAGTAGGAACAGCACAGATGTACATGAACAAGCTCGAGGACGAGCCCAAGGCCCAGCTGGGCCCACCGTCGCTGGCGGTTGCCATGGCAGTCTTGGAGGTTCTTCTGGCGCGGCAAGTAGTTCAGGACAGTATGCAACTCAGGGCGGACTGCCACGGGTTGAAAAGCCTTGCCCCGAGAATCGTAGGGGATAATGAAAACCGCGGCAGACTATCAAGTACGGGAAGGCCCAAACTACGATTGCCAAAAAGGGGGGCGATTCGAGTGCGACACACTTTCTACATCCATGCGTTTGTGCCCATTGGAGAGCCCCCGAACATGCTGATAGTGCCAGCCAACCTCCTGATCAGCAAGATGCTGACATTCCTGGGGTCGGAGATCAAGCCAGGCCCCCCGCCTCGAGCGCCGACAGAGAGGCAGCTTCAGAACTCATCAGAGAAGACGCTCAAGGGTCGCAGCCACAGGAGGCATTGAGGACCCGGACGATAAGAAGTTCGAGTATAACCCCACTATTCCAGTCCTTTTTCTGAGAGAGGTAGAGTTCGTTTATCGGGGTCTAGGGACCCGCCAGAGGCACCACCCAAGAAACAGGCCCCGACGCAAAGGTGAAGGCACAAGGGTAGACGATGGGTGAACTACTTCGGGTTTGTTGTGTGACGTCTCCCCTTCTCTCTCTGCCCCTTCGAGCCTCCGTGTTCTGCCTTTGTGGCTTTGTGGTGTGCCTGGTCGGTGGCCTCCTCCCCTTTCTCTGTCTCCGTGGGCGTCGTGCTGAGATGGGCGAGTGTCGGATGACACTGCGCGGGATGATTACGTTAAGCCTCTCGACCACAACGTTGCCCAGGATGTCCCCATGACTGGATGACCAGTCGTGGCGGGGGTACCGAATTTTGAATCGCGTTCGAGTGGAAAGTTTTCGACTCTTGATGCGCACAACGGTCGACGCGCAAGCTACAGGGAGGATGCTGCAGAGCCCGCAGCTTGATAGCCAGCCAACCAGCCTCCCTCTCCTCCTCTTTCGCCTCCCCCTCCTTCCGCCCATGCTACTTCCATCCTCCTCCCCCGTCCTCATCATACCCCCGTTTGTCATTATCCTCATTCGTGCTCGTTCCCACCTCCCACCATCCACCCTAATTCTCCCCCCTCTTTGTCTCCTTTTGCGGCGTCGTCAATATGGCGCCGCCCTGCGATGCACCGGCGTCGGCGGACGCGGTGGACCTTGGCACGGAGCCGGCGGAGGCCGCGCAGACGCGGAGGGTTTGATGCGTTTGTCATGATTGCTTATGCGTCGATTATCTTTGAAGCCTCTTGGAGGGCATTTGTCGCCACTGCCAGATTCGCCTCCGATTCCTGGTCTGAACGCGTTCCAGGGGAGGTCCGGAGGTCTGTCTCGAGAGGGAGCGCCGAGGAGGATGATGGCGAGGGGGGGAAGACGACGAGTGGGCTTGGGAGGAGGACTGTGAAAAGCGTTTGATGGTTCTTCGGCGCCCTTTCAGTGTGTTCTCGGGTGTCAGGCGGTTTCGCGAGCTTGAAGGTCGCGGTTCGGTTCGGTTCGGCTCGACGCGCGCCCAGTTCCGTTCGGCCGGTCTTGTTTGCGTCGCGGACCAGTTGCGTTTGGCCGGTTCGTGTTTGGTCGGTTCATCTAGGTTGGCCAGTTCGGTTCAGCCGGTTCGGATTTGGTTTCTTGGGCAGGTTTTGGTCGGCCGTTTCATAGACGATGTGATGCAGATTTGCAGAAGTGATCCGGTCCGACCGCTCTTGGTGTCAGGTTGCAAGTCTCGGTCGGTCTGATTTCGATAAGGTGATGCTTCGCTGGTGCTAGTTCGGGTCGGCTTCCATAGCGGTCCACTTCCAGGCGCGCCGATTGAACGGATCCAAGGAGGATTGGGATGAGGATGAAAACGGGGAGGGGGGACGACGGGGACGAGGCAGGAGGGAGGTGGAGCTAGGAGAAGGAGGAGCAGCAGTAGTAGGAATACTAAGAAGACGAACAATAAGAAGAAGGGTACGAGGACGAGGACGAGGACGAGGAATAGGATGAGGTCGAGGAGACTGAGGAGGAGGATCTGATGACGGGCCAGAATAGGCGGACCTGAACATGGAGCTGATGAAGGCCGCAGACGCCTGCGACGTAGACCGAGTAAAGGAGCGTCTCTCTCTTAACGCCAATGCGTCTGTCACCATCTCATCCTCTTCTTTCTCTTCGCATGCGGCGACTCTCCATTCGCACCGTCATCAATCGGCAACAGAGGTTTTATTCACACCCCTGCGAACGCCCAAACCCCATAAGGGCCAGAGCGGGGGCATGGATATAATCTTAGCCTCCGGAGGCCAAGTTTTTGTCCGTGCCCTACTCGTATGACGCCCACAGTGAAAAGCAGCAGCAGGAGCATGGATAAGACATTGACCGCAAAGCCATATCCCTTGAGGAGCGGCGGGCCCACGGTGCGAGGAGATCGCCCAAAGCACTCCCGCTGGGAGGATCTGTCAATATCCACCGCCTGGGAATCCCATCGTCCTGGACCTGGGACCATCTTTTGTCCTGAAAGGATGGCCAAGAGTTTGTTTTGTTGCGACGCTCACTTGTATGGCATCCCCCCCCATCTGCCGCCTTTTGAAACAGCGCTTGGCCTACAGGGAGTGCGAGCGAGTCCCGACAGGACCCAGATTTCCTGCCGAGCCTCTCCACGCTCCCCCCTCCTCTCTGCAACCGACATGTGGAATGTGTAAAACAAGGGGCACGAAATGGCTCATTGGGACGGGGCGGGGCATAATCCGAGTGTGGATGGACAAGCTGTCGACAGCTTGATTGATCAAGGACAGGAGGAAGGAGGGGGAGGAGGTGGAGGGAGGAGGAGGAGGGGGAGGAGGAGGAGGAGCGCTTCGCAGCAGGAAATTATGCCTCTAAGCAACGCCGACTCCAACGGGGAGGACGGCGCAGGTGGGTTCCTGGATCGGGAGGGGAAAAACACACGTGGGCACAATTCGTCGTCGATCCCCAGGAAGATATGGGAAACGATGGGAAGTGGGGGGAAGACCATACTCAAAACAATAGGGGCAAAAATGGGGAGTCCTGTGATCTGTGTCTATTTATTTGTGTGTCCCTGGGCCCCTTTCCTGGACCAGGACCAGGCCGTCGAAACATTCTCGATCCGCGAGGCGCAAACCACGTCGGCGTGAGGCGGCAGAGCAGCCGCGACCAAGAAGGGCCGCAGGCGGGCATAGTTTTGGCCTCCCGAGGGCTTGGAAGGCCGCGCTCGGAGGCGCCGAGCGCAGGCCGGGAAAGGGAGCCGACCGGCTGCGACGACGAACTCAACCTCGCGTTTGGCCTGCAGGGGCAACGATAGGGGGCGATAGGGACAGAGGGGGAATTCATCGTTCGAGGTTAGACGTATGCGGGCATTTTCGTTGGTTCTCGGCGTTTTTCCAGCCTCGGGGTGCGTTTCAGCGGCTGCACCTCGCCGAGAGCTTTCTGGGGGTGCTGAATCGTTCCGAACGGCCGCTGGAGGCCCGAGTTATGACCCGCAAACCATCAGGGGATAGGCATAGAGGGGATGCATCGACCCCAAATCGCCCATGGATCGCCGATAGGGGCCCGATAGCCCCAACCCGCCCAGGCGGGTGCGGATTCACCATCGGGGGCCCATCGCCGACCTATCGGCGATGTATCGCCGATTCCAGGTCGATGCATCCCCCCGATGCCAGTCCCCCCCTATCGTTGCCCCTCAGGCATTGGCTCGGCGAGGCTCAGCAAAGGTGAGCCCGATCTTGCGTGCGTGTGCCGAACTGCCCGTCCACAGCCTGCTGGGCCCGCACCAGAGGGCGCGTCTGCCAAGGAGGGCCCGTCAGATGTCTGGCAGCACCCAGAGAGCAGCAGGGCAACCAGACAACCGCCTCCGAGGGCCAAGTTTCGATCGGCTGCGAAGTGTCGCGGCGGCACGCGACGTGACGCGCAGACATCGTAAGGAGCGCATGACGTGGCACCATGGCCGCCGCCCAACGTCGAAGACGGCGCTGATGACGACGACGACGACGACGCGCAGACCTCCCATCAATTCGCGCCTACCCCGCACAGTAATTCGCAGTGCGATCTGTCCGATGTTTCTGATGACTCCGCTGCCGCGCTGCCGCGCGATGCCGCCACCGCTCTCGGGCGGCCGCCCGGTGGGGGTGGGGGCAGGAAGCGCACCACCGTTACCACTTGGGATGGTTCAGGACGAGCTGTCGTGCGGGATGCTGGTGCGCCGCGGATGCTCCTCCTCCTCCCCCTCCCTCCTCCTCCTCCTCCTCCTCTTCCTCCTCCTCCTCCTCCTCCTCCTCCTCCTCCTCCTCCTCCTCCTCCTACATCATGCGGGTGTGCACGATGTCCCACGAAAGCGCCTGAAGCGATATACACCACCGCCACCCTTGACCACCCTCCGCCTCTGCCCTGCGGGTGGTCAAGGGTGATGGTGTGTTTCCTTGTCTGTATGGGGGCAGGAGTGGATCCCCGTCTCTCGCTACGGGGGCAATTTTGCGGCTGGAAGGCCGATCGTGCAGGGGCACGAACGGATGCATCTTCGGTTCGATGCGCGGAGGGTCGTACCCCTCGCTTCGGAAGACTCGACATGCTTAATCAAAAAGGAAAGGCCACGGCACAAACCCACACACACACAGACACACACACACACACACACACATGCGCGCACGCGCACGCGCACACGCACACGCACACGCACACGCAAACGCACACGCACGCGCACACGCGGCGCACACCCGCACACGCACGCGCACGCGCACGCGCACGCGCACGCGCACGCGCACACGCACACGCACACGCACACGTACACGCACACGCACACGCACACGCACGCGCACGCGCACGCGCACACGCACGCGCACACGCACACGCGCACACGCACACGCACAAACGCACAAACGCACACACGCACACACGCACACGCACACGCACACGCGCACACGCACACGCACACACACACGCACTCACACACACACACACACACACGCACATACACACCGTCCGCTGCACTGATTGTTGCAATTTGTTTCTTTGGATGCGTTCTTTTTCAAGGGGAAGAGGCGGCGCGAATCGGGCGACACATGCACTGTCCGCACCCCCAGGATTCTGCAACAGCCTGGCAGCTGCCCTGCTCGGTTACGCGCTGTGAGTCAATCTGATACAGGAAGTCGAAGTGCAATCTCTGTTGCAACACGGCTCCCGTGGCCGAATGCGACAGAGTTCTGTGGTCTTCGTTGCCCTACCCTGACGTCCACCCCTGGCGGCGTCAGACCTCCAACGTGTTGAATCAAAGCACGCGCCGGTCGTTGAAAGTAGGTATCTATTGGAGTCCCAGATCCCAATCTGCTTGAGTGGTTTTCCTTTTCCCTTTGTCGTCAGGGGGCGGGCGGAGACCCAATCTACTTCCAACGCCTTCCTCCTTCATGTTTCTACCCACGTTTTCCGACTGACGGGCAATGCGAGGGTGTTTGCAGCGCTCCTGCACCATCAAGAAACACGACTCGGGAGGAGCAGCCAGCCCCATCGGGAAGGGTCGGGGTTCTCTGGGGATCATACGGGCTCGGAGCCGCTCGGGCGCATGCGGTCTCTTGGCGAGGGCCATCGAGGAACACCTTGGATCAGCTCCCCAACAAAAACAAACGCCCGACACTGCAGCAGCTGCGCGAAGAGTGGACGCCCGAGCGACGGCAAGCGCGGGCAGGCCGGGCGGCATCCGCCCGTTCACGCGCGTGGGCCGCGGAGCCGCGCCTCCGCACCCCGGAAGCGCGCCCTGCACGGTGCGCGGCGCGCTGCCCGGGGCGCGGCCGCCCTCGTGCAGCGACCGCCGCGACCCACCCTCGCCTTCCTAAGTAGTCGACCCTGGTCCTGGCATCGATCGGACGTGTGCATTTTTCCTTCGGCGAGGACCATCGAGGAGCATCCTTGATCATTTGGCGGAAAAACCACGCACGAAACCGAAAAAAACACAGGGAATGGACGTGCGAGCGATGGCGAGTGGTCGCCACTCGAAAGCTGGGCAAGGGCTGCTAAAACCGTGGCTGCGAAAACGGCCCTTCCCGGAAGGAGAAGACAACTTCCCAGAATGAGGCGCGGCACGCGAAACAGTCAACGGGTTTCTTCCCGGATGAACGAAGACACTTTCCCGGAGGTCGATTTTAGCAGCCACGGATTTAGCAGCCCTTGCCCGGCTTCCGAGCCACCCTTCTGTCACAAATTTGCAATCGCAGAGACACTACGAAGAACGAGTTCCACAACATTCGAAGAAGAGAAACTCCACAAACATGAACTTTTGGCGCTCCGCGCGAATTCCTTGGATCCGCGCTGGGCCCACCCCGGGCGGCGCCCCCTGCGCCGCCCTTGGCGTGCTCCACGCGCCAGGGAGGGGGGTCCAGCGCAGATCCGAAAAATCCGTGCGGAGCGCCAGAAGTTGATGGTTACTGATATGTTTCTGTTGCTCAAGTCTGCCACAAAAATGGCTCATTCACTTGTTGCGGCCGAGCATGACGCCTCGATCGTGAAAGCCAGAGCCGAGCATCATTCCTCACCACCACTTCCTTGTTCGTCCTTTTTTATATTTCCTCCATTGCTCTTTTCCTCGTCCAACCTCGCCGTCAACCTCATCGCTCGCGTTCTCCCCTTCGTCGTCATTCGGCCCTACTCGTACTCCTGGATGGTAACGACGACGATGACGACGATGACGATTGTGGAGGAGCTCCTCGCCTCTGGCGCCAAAGCGTCCTTCATCCACGACCCCCCCGGGACCTGGGGCAGCTGCTCGACGCGAGGCCCGCTTGTCGTCGTCGACCCTTCGAGGGGGGGAGCAGCAGAAGCCTCCTGCTCCTCCTGCCTTATCTCTCCTCCCCCCTCTCTCTTCCTCACTGCCCCTCCACCTGTCTCCTAGAGGGGTGAGGAGGAGCGAGGGAAGATATAGGAGACAGAAGTCATGTGGGAAGGAGGAGGAGGAGGAATGGATCAAATGCGCATGCGCATGCGATTGAGGGGGGAGCAGGGAGAATATCGGACGGATGAGGTCGACGTGGGAGGGGCCTGGATGACGTGAGGAGGAGGAGGTGGAGGAGGAGGACATAGAAGGCAGAGGATGAGGAAGAATAATGAGGAGCAGGGGCGAGGGAAAAGGAGGGGGAGGAGGAGGACGAGGAGTAAGGGGATTTGGACCTTCTTCTCTTACCATCCCTCCTCGCCATCAGTACCTTCAACATCCATCGTAAGCACCCGCCTTCTCCTCTTTCGTATCTCTCTCCCTCCTTCTCCTCCTCCTCCTCCCTGAAGATTATCTTCGTATGACCTTTCGCGGCATGCTGGCGTGGAACGCGCACAGTTCATGATCCAGGGAGAGCGAGAGAGAGAGAGAGAGAGATAGAGGGGAAGAGAGAGAGAGAGAGAACAAAAAAAGGGAGGATATAGCGCACCCCGAGAGCGTGGGCACAACGGTCGCGTCGTTCTCTCCCTCCTCGCCTTCGTCTTCGAGCCTGTCTTTCAAGCCTGAAGCGAGGGGATATCGACGAAAATGAACCCGCTGACCACGAACAAGATGTCTCGGAATCTTGTCGACGCCGATCTTGGTCTTGGTCCATGCCGGCCGTCGCCCATTCGCGAGGATAATCCACGGATTGATGATGACCAAGGTCGACACCGATGATGTTTCCGCGTCCAATCTGGATCATGGTCACCGCTTCCTCCCTCTCTAGGGTCCTCCTAACAAATCGCGTCCTCCCCCTCCGCCCGCCTCCCTCCCTCCCAAGCACCTTCCGACAGGTTGCTCTCACAGCCGACGGGGAGACCGCCCAGGAGTGTGCGGGTTCGCCATCGGGGGCCCAATCGCCCATGTGTCGGCGATGCACATCCTCAGCATCTTTCAACCGATCCCCATCCCCATTACCATCCCCATCTCGATTCCCACCATCCCATCACACCCAGTCGGGGATATGCCCCTCGAAGCCCGAAGGGAACCGCCTATATCCCCATTTTGGTGGTAAATCGGCCAGTGGGGCCTAGGCCACGCCAGTGGGGATAGGATTCCGTCGGGCCTCTCCCTCTAAAGGAGGAAAATTAAATAATAGTTACCCATCGGTCGTTGAAAGTAGGTATTTATGGATTCCAATATTCCAATCTACTTTAAGCGCCTTCCTACTTCAATGATCGAGTGGTTTTCCCTTTTCCCTCCTCTTCAGTGAGCGGGCGGTCACCCAATCTGCTTCCAACGCCTTCCTGCTTCATGTTTCTACCTACTTCTTCCGACCGATGGGTACAAATAGTTCGGGGACGAGTTTTTGATTATGTTTGCTCATGTTTTGAATCTGTTGGGGGTAGTTCTTCGGGTTCATTCGGCTCTCTGGCGGCCGTTCTGGCACCCTCGGACCGTGCTCGGCGAGGCGCAGCCGCTGGAAGGCACCCCAAGGCTGGAGAGCCGTCGAGAACCCACGAGAACACCCAAGCTCGAACCACGAGCCTGGCGGTCCCCCCTGACCAAGGGCGCCATCAAGGGCGCGACGTTTTTCGCGTTTCGCGGTTCGGCTCCGATTCCTCCTCATCCTTTTCCTCCCCTGGGGGGCGGCGCGAGGGCACGACGTGATTCGCGCTTCGCGAGGCGCGGGGCGCGAGGCGCGAAGCTGGGCGCCTTTGCTGACTCCCTCCCCTGGCTCCACGCCGGAGGTGGTGCCGTGGTTTCCCAGGCTCCCCGAAGACACAGCAAAACTCCTCGGAAGGCCGCGCGGCTTCTGAGCAGCCCCGCCGCACTCTGAGGGGTGATTCTCCTCCTCGCTCGCCGCCGCCCCTGGCGCTCCACGCGCTGGTGGAGGTGTCGTTGCTCCGTGCTCCCGCCCCACTCGGAGGCGGCAAAGAGGGGGGTGATGACTAGGGGGGGAGGGAATTCATGTCGTGGGCCATGATATCTCCTCAGATTTCATGGCGCCTCTTCTTATTTCATTACGTCCCTGGCCCCCCCGCTGGGCCGCGCACGTGCCGCCGGTCATGATTTGCACCCCCCCCTCTTGGACACCCCCCTCCTTGGCCGCTCCCGCCCCGCAGGCCCGCTGCACGCGGTGCTCCTGGCCAGGCCGAGGTCGCCCCGGGACGGCGGCGGGGCGGAGGCCGGGGAGCACGGGCGCCGCCTCGGCGCGTGGCGCGGGGCCGTGCAGGCGCTTGTGGAGGCCAAGGCCCAGGGGGGGGGGGGGCAAGGTGTGCACGTCCCGGTTCGCATGCAATTCCCGGGAGGTCAAACTCTGATTTAGCCTGTTTCGAAATCCTGCTTGATCGGGCTTAATCCCGCTTAATCCCGCGCAGTCCGGCTTAATACCGCTGAGTCCTGCTTAATTTGGCTTAGTCCCGCCTGATCCGAGGCCGTTCTGGCTCTTAACAGCCCCCCAATGGGGCTTAATCCTCCTTAGTCCTTCCGCCGAAAACCTCCCAGCAGTTGCCTCCTGATCCAGGTCCAGTGCGCTTTGGCCTGTCCCGGAAGGGGCGCCACAAGGCAGAGGGGCACTGGGTATGGATAGATGCCGAGCCTCGTATGCGGCCGGAAATCGATCCCTCATTGTCCAGTGCGCCTCGGGCTTCTGGGGAAAAGGGGCCCGCAGCTCCGAACTGCAGTGGGTATGGGCACAAGTCTTGCCCGCAAGGCGTGGAAGGAAAAAGGAACGAATGCACAGTTAAAATTCAAGCCATTTTGGCTCAAGCCGTGTTGGCACAAGGCTCAAGGTTGCCAGGGCTCAAGGCTGCCAGGCGAAAGCAGCCAGAAACTGTACTGCAAGTGTTTCTCTTCCGATCCATTTTTGGCTAGCGCTGTGCGAGATGTCGGCGCCTCCATCATGGTGGGCTGATGCTTCAGCCAATCTCGTGAAGGAGCAGACTGAGGCTACGACAAACATGTTGGTACCATCACAGGGGGAGATAAACGCTGTCAAGGACATCGTGTGTGGCCTCAAAATTGGATCCGGCGAGCTCGAAGATCGCCTGGCGCATCTCGAGGCGGGAGCCTCTTCAGGGGTCACCTTCAAGCCCACGTGCACTAATGTTGGGGGATTTCGTTCCTACGAATAACGTCACGAGCAAAGGGTCGAAAGGCCAGAGGCAACAGAGTACATGAATAAATTGAAGGCCGTGCTTGCGCTTTCACTCCAGCAGCATGTCTGCCAGCTCTTTGGGGTAAAAACCACAAGGTCCGCATTCCCATCGCACCCCGGTGCCTCGCGGATGTCGCAGGAGTGTTTATTGCCAGGACGAGGTGCAATATGTTATAACCCGAAACAGATATGGGCACAGGCTGGGCGACACCCTGATGTCCAGGCTAGATACATTACATTGGGTAAGCTACTTGATTGGGCCACAGATGATCCGGGCGCTAACCTCGAGCCCCGCGTACATTGGCCCCGGGAAGTGAAGGTCCCATTGGTTGCATTTCAGGAGGAAGTGCGGGGAATCCGAGGCAAGGTGGGGGGCCAGGACACCTGGGAGTCGGGGCACCAAGGGCTTGCAGGTGGCAGGGCTTTTGGAGAGCGCTGATCGCCCGGCGGTTGGCCAGCGCCGACGTAAGCGCCATCATTCGGACAGCCTGCAGTCGAATTCGAGCCATTTGAATTCGGCGTGGGCGTACATAGCGCATAGAAGGCATTCATTGCGAAGCCCATTGCATCGCTCAGAGTTGGGGCCGCATTGGTTGGACCAGCCCGGCCGTTTACTTACAGGAAATCCTGCGTTGGGTTGCTGGGCGCGAACTATCTGCAACCATATTTACAGTGCATGGTCGCGGATCCAAGTCTGATGAAGCCGCTTGTCGAGACGGATTCGATTTTTCATTTCTGGTTCCAGGCATTCCGAAGTCATATATTTCAGGACCAGAGGTGCGGTAAGCACTGGTGCGGGGTGGTCACGACGAGCGGCCCCATCAAGTACGCATTCATATTCTCAGCTTTTTGTTCCGATTATACGCGCGACGTCGCAAGTGATGAACATGAGAATTAGCATTTGCATGGGGCAGGTAATCGAAGGGATCCTCTGCTAGAAGAGAGAATGCCAGGGAAAGCGTGGGGAACGCATCTCCGCGACCGCGCATCTTGAGGCGCGCGTAGCTTCGCGGGCCCATTCCTCGGATCGCACAGGGCCCGCTGTAGCTCCTAAGAAGAGGCCCTACGCAGTGTCTACGCAACAGGAAATCTCGCGGTGGGTGGGGATATTTGGACGGGCAGCTTCGAATGCATATGACCCCCTGACGCCCGATCTGAATGGAGAGCGCGCGGATTAGAGCTGCCAGGGCAGCGATCTCGACCTGAGATCCGAGAAGCCCCTCAACACAGGAAAGGGTCACCGGCCCGTGCGGGCCGAAATCTCTCGGGGCACTCTCGGGGCACTTGGCCTGGGCGCGGAAGGGGGCGTCGCCCCCCCGCGCGCAGCGAAGTCCACGGGCGCCGAACAGATGTTCTCATTGCGTGGGGATTTGTTTGCAATCTTCAACAGACGATCCTTCAACGCGCAACCACGCCTTTGGATCTAGATTGCCATTGGGTCTTCGCCGCGCATGCCGCCGTGGATTTCTAAGCCGCCGATGCCAAAATGCGCGGGCGCGCCCCGAAGCAACGTCTGCAATTGCACGTTCGGCAGCTCTAGCGCGAATTGCAGTCGAACAGCGGCGTCGCCGTCAAATGCAGATTCGGGCGCGCCTCCGCGCGCTGAGAAGATGCGCGAAAAGCAGCGAGCCGACAGCATGCAACAATCATTTCGGGCCGACGCTCGGAGGCCACAGTTTCAGGATATCCATGGACGCCTGAACGACGACTGGGCCCGAAGGTCGGAGGCAGCAGCGAAGTCTTGGGGGGCCAGGTTTGGCGATGAGCGCAAATCTTCCGAGGTGCAAGCAGACCGCGTGGATTTCCTTTGTCGGGGTGTCAAGGCGGGCCGCCTGGACGGCAGGAGCCCTGGGGGCCTAGACATTCGGGGCACTTTGCTGGCCCTGGCGCGCGCGCGCGACCCGGGGCCGCGGCCAGCGTCGACGATTCTCCATCCGACGCGATCTTGCAGTTGCCGAGTCTTGCCGTCGCTCATGTCCGCAAGATGTCTCGGGGGCGCTTTCGTCGTGAACCTGGTCGCGTAGAGTCAGATGCCGCCGTCCTAGAAGATCGCGTCGCGCGCGGGCATCCCCAGATTGGAGCGCATACAGCGTTTTGGCGACGCGCGCTGGCCTTGCCAGGCGTCGTCTTTGCAGAGATAGTTTACGCGAGCAGCGCAGGTGGGCATGAGCGCGCACATGCGACCTTCAATCGTGGGTTCACGCCGCTTCCAGCGCAAAGCGCGCATCTGACCCAGTGGGTTTGGCGCCCGAATTGTCGCGTATATATCCGATGTGCTATCTGCATGTTGCAGCGACAGCTCGATGTGGAAATCTCGCGGTCGACCCCGCGCCTCGCGACATGACGGCGCTGCCTCTCCGATCGAGAGGATTGTCGCGCCGCGATTTCGTAAGTCAGATGTGGGAACTGATCGGATGGCGGGCGCGCGCGTGCGCTGACTGCGGGTTGCCCCGAGTTGTTCGACCGCGGCAGACGAGGCGCAAAAGTGCCCGTGAAGACCCCGGCCCACTCGAGAGCAGCAGTGGCTTTCACGTTGGAAGTGGTAATCCGAAATTGAAATTCACAGGGCATGGTTTCCGCGCTCCCTGATGAGGACAGCGAGCAAAATGGTGTTTGGGCCGACAACGTTGCGTTGTTGTCATTTTCTCTTTGACTGGGTCACCGGCCCGTCTGGCACCTAGTGGGAGGTTCGGCGCTGGGCTCCGGCGCGCCGCGGGGCTTGGACAGAGGGCCTCCACGTGGCCCGGCGGCGTCGTGACTCGGCTCGGGCGCAGCGTTGTTCCCGCCGCCTCTCGGGCGCGGGGCTTGGCCCCAAGCGTCGCAGCCACTCGGCGGCGCGCCGTCGCCGCGCATCGGCAGATGACGTCGCGCGCGGCCTCGGGCCCCCTGGGAGCGACGGCGGGCTTTCCGCAGCCAGAGCCTCGCTGGCCGAGTTTCTCAAGGAAAAGGGCCTCGCGGGGCCCGCGAGTCGCGCGAGTTCGGGGCTCGGCGGGGGTGGCGGGGGCGGGGTCCGCGCAGGGCCTCGCGGGCGCTGCGCCGCCCGCTCCGCCGTCGCCCCGCGCCCCCGCGGTCCGTTTGCCCGTGGGCGCCTGGCTCGTGATCTGGAACCCTGAGTGCTGCGGCAAGCCTCGCCCCTCCCCTTTTTGGCCTCGGTGCCAAACCTGCCCCCCCGAGATGGATTTCGTCGCCGCGGGGCTCGAATGCCCCGCCGCGTGCCGGAGGGCGCGCGGGGGGGGGGTCCGACGCGCGCGGCGTTCTCGGTTGGTTGGCAGACGCCTAAGCCGGACGGGGGCGCGCGTTTTCTGCGCGGACTGCGCCCTCTCTACAGGGCGGCGGCCCGCGGCGCATGCCGCTCGGCGCCGCGCGGCGCTCCAGACGCATTCGACATTGGGCGCGCCCCGCATTGCAGAAAATGCCCCCCTGGGAGCGCGCGGGCCGTCGGAGCGACCGCGCGCGGCGCGAGCGTGGCACGCGGCGGCACGCTGCGATATGAAAGACGCGTTCGGCTGCCCCGCACGCGCTGCGCTCACTTTCACCTCCAAGGCGGAGCCCTCATGGGGGTCCGAGTGCCCCCGGTGGGCTTCGCGCGGGCTTTGCTCGGCCTCTCGGGCAGCGGCTCGGCGTTCGATCCTGACGTGTATGGACGCCTCTTTAAGTGCGTGGATTACCGGGCTTGTTTTCTGTTCCTGGCCCCGGGATCTCTGGCGAAGGCGGCCTTCTCAGGCCCCCCATCGGGGCTCGAGTAGAATCCTTCGACCACCGCCAGAACACCCAGAAGCAGGTCAGGGCCCCGCGCCCCCGCGGGTCTAATGCCAATCGCAAGCGCGACTCCGCCGAGGTCGGCGGCGCCAGAGTGCCCCTCCGCGCCCTCTACCTCGGCCCCCAGTTCCGGCCGCTTGGAGCGTTCTCCCATCAGCTGCACTTGAGCAAGCAAGCGGTCAATCGGGTTGGCTCTCTTTCAAAAGCTCGCGGCCTTCGGGGGCCCCCTCGAGGTGAAGAGACTCAGTCGAGCGGAAGATCGGGACAAATCGGAACCAGAGATTCTGGGAGAGTTCCAGAGAAAAATAGAACGCCGACTTGTGGAGCGCAGCGCG